CCCAGAAAGGACCGTCTGTTCCCACCAGAGGTGGGCGAGGGGCCGGCCCGCACTCACGTGGAGTCAGGGCTGAACTTGCACTGGAGGGCGTAGCGGTTGTGCGCCGGGATCTTGGTCTTGGGGATCAGCTGGGTCACCTCCTCGCCGATGCCGCCCGTCAGGTTCCACACGTAGCAGTTTCCCTGCGGGGAGACAGGGGGGGAAACTGAGGCCGGGCTGGTGGTCACCCGCCCCCCCCAAAAGCAGCCCTGCCTTCCCACGTGGCAGCAGCGCTGCAGGCTCACCCCCTTGAGGCCGCCGGAGCTCACCGAGCTGTTAACGGCCGCCATGTAACTGGCGTCGGGGTCGATGTGAACCGAATTCACGGAAACTTCGGGCTCTGGAATCAGCTGCTCGTTGTGGTCGGTCTTCAGGTCCCAGATGTGGATGGCCCCGCTCTGATCCCCCACGATCAGCTCTGCCTGCAAGGACACAGCAGCCTGGTCGCTCTGGGCCGCGAGCAGCAGCCTCTGGCCGATGCCCAAACCGCGGTGGAGCCTGGTTTTAAGCACCGGGGTCCTGTTCTGCCTAATTCCTGCCCAGCACAGGGCTGCTGCAGAGCTCGGGCAGCCTGCTGCCTGCCCCGGCGTGCTGGGAGCAGCGGAGCACACTGCAAAAAAAGGCCGTTTCCCTTCGCAGAAGCGTTTGCTAATTTTATAACCCCCCGAGCAGATGGCGGCTGCCAGATTTCCAGAGCCGTTGCCCAGCTCCAGCCAACCTCCAGAGAAGCCAAATGATTTTCAGCACGTCTGAGGAGCGGGGATTAAGATGCAAGTTGGCCAGTGAACAACTGAAGCACTCAAGAGCGTGCAGATACCTGAAGAACACAAGCCTAAATGGTTTTTTTTTTTTCTCTCTCTCTCCCCTTCTCAGGGGAAGGACAAGAGCCAGCTGAAGGGCAGGACTTCTGGCTCCGAGCCCGTGCTCAGCCCGGAAGACGATGCTGGCGGCTCTCCACTAAAACCAGGGCTCTCATCGACAGCCCTGCGCTGGCCATGATTTTAGCAGAATCCCTAGAGATCGGGTCCTGGGGCGCAGCTCATCCTGCACCCCTGAGCAAAGGCTTGTTTCCGAGGAAGACCACCGTCGCTCGATGGACTGAGCTGAGTGCTGAGCGCAGGAGCGTCTCCTGGACGCCTCGGGCCTCAGCCCCCCCCCCTCCCCCCCCCCCCCCCGCCGTTGCTCAAGCTGTCACCGGCACCAGCAGCTCGGCGAGGGAAGGGGCAGCCTGGGTGCGGGGAGCCGCCTGCTGCTTGTCCAGCCACGCCACCCACAGCTCAGGTCTGGGTCACCAGGAAGGCCACCCGCCCCAGCCAGCCCCCGGAGCTTTTGCCAGCACAAAACTCCGCCACTCCTCAGGTTTACCCGGGAGGGGTCACGGCAAAGCGTGAGCTGGGAAATCGGGGAGGGGGGAGCCGGTGCTCACCTGGTTGGGGTGCAGGCAGACACAGTTAATGGGAGCGTTCACCTGGAAAATCCGCTGACACTGGAGGTTACGAGACCTGCAACGAAACAGCGAGGAGGGATCGGGGTTGAGGCAGCTCCACCGCCTCCGTGGTGCCGCCAGACGGGGGGGACCCGCCGCCTCTGCCCACCTCAGGTCCCAGATGCGGGCCATGCAGTCCTCCCCGCCCGTGTACATCCACCGCCCGTCCTCGTGGAAGCCCACGGAGGTGATGTTCTTGCTGACGCCGTCGTAGTTAATGACGGGGTTGGGGTTGTTGGAGTTGAGGTCGTACATGCGGATGTGCTGGTAGCCTGCAGCGACCACCGGGCAGCGGGGGGTGACCAACGTCCCCCGGCCCGTGCCCGGTGTCACCCGCTCCCCGGAGGGGCCAGGCGGCCTCACCTGCGGCAGCGATCATGCTCCGGTCCGGCGTGATCTCCAGGGCGTTCACTTGCTGCCGGCACCCGTTAAGGTCGGTCAGAAGCAGCAG